ATTTAATCATGCTATATTTAACGAGGTTTTACTGTGATCACAGTATACAATATGATATCTATTTATTGGCAAATGCAATAATAGAAATTTTACATTTGCATATTACGGAAATAAAGGCTTTTTCTATTATTAGATCAATTAAATAAAATGAAACAGTTGGAAATGCAATTAATTCGTACTTGAATGAATGCAAATCGTGACGGACAAATAAAAAATGTCATGAAAATTTATTAGCAACATTTGTTGAGGAGGTGAAATTAAGAGAGTGAAAGAGAGAGAGAGAGAATGAAAGTATTATGATAATGTAAAATATAAATAAATAAATGAATATACTAAGCGTAAAATACCAAATTTACAATGAATATTAGATGAGATCAGAAATGATGATGTACTAATTTCTTTAAGGTGCGATAGTAGAGATTAGATTAAATGTGTAAAGTTTAATTTTAAGTTATAGATCACGCTTTGCCAATCAGCCAGCTCATTTTAGCTGTTAACATATTTCATGTTAATTTATTATTGAATATAAAGTAGTTAAAACCCAATGATAAAGAGTGCACAAAATGAAAAATGGGAAAAGTGATCATATTTAGACTTACAAGTGCACTTTACAGAACTTACAATGAGTTAATTAATTGCAACATTTATCATTAGCCGAGTGCAGCGAAGTTTAACAGCTGCCAATCAGCTGAAATGACYTGTAGTAGTTCCACGTGCAGTCTACATTGTARTTATATAGATAGATTAATAATCAGATTGGAGCTGATTGAGAATTCTCTCGAAACTAATCAACGGCCAATAAAATAATAATCATCGTATATGAAGCATTGTCTGTTTCATTTTGATTTTATTTCACTATATTTTTGGTTGCTAAATGCGTGTTTTGACATTTTGGAAAGTGTGCGAACAAAATCTCGTTTGCCTTAACTAGAGGAGCGCACAGCCAGAGAGCAACAGAGTCATGTACTTATGACTGTACAGCAGCAGCAACAACAGCAACAACGACAGCAACAACAACAATGGCAAAACATAAGCAACAATTAATGAGCAACGGGCAGCGGGCAGCGGGCAGCACCGGGCAGCGAGACAGCGAGGCAGCGTCCACTTGATTGCCTCGATCTGGCTAGAGCGGTCCAAAGATATATAAATGAGGAAAAGCAACGCACGCGCGTATTAATACATTGGATGTTCGGTTCTAAACGCGCAACGGTCGTACGAATATCGCGCATACGCCGCATGGCCAATGATTTAAGCTGAATATTGACAGTGAATAGTGACAGAGAGTGTATTAGCAACTAAAAACATGGACACCAGCAGTGACAAGCAGCAGGAGCAACGACTGGGCCATCGCCGCCAGCCAGCGCTGGGCAAGGCCATGCCCGTCACAGCCCTGCTGCTCAATCTGAATCTTGCGCAGAGCAATAGGCCGAGTCATGCACGCAGCGCACCAGCTGGCGCRCTGGACGAGGATGAGCCRCCGCCGCGTTACTTCAGCATAGCCGAGGAGCTGCAGCAGCCGCCGTCGCCCAGCGAGAACAAGGCCGCTGAGCCAGCGCTGCTCGGTGCGGGCAAGCCGGACGTGCCCTGCCTCAACTGCTGCCAGCGAGCGCCGTTGGAGCTGAGTGGACCCGGTCTGGCCATCAACGAGATGTGCCAGCGCCTGTGCAGCGATGAGTGTCGACGCGGCCTCAGCTTGACTGGCTGCCTGGCCACACAGGATGGCGAGCAGCTGCGGCAGGATTTCCTGAAGCAATATGAAATTGCGGAAGCGCTGGCCAAGACCTCGGCAATGACCTCGACTACGCAAATGAAACAGCGTCTCGCCGCACGCAAACTGGAAATGGATATCGAGACGCAGGCGGCAGCCGCTTCCACAGAGCCAGCCTGGCTAACCACACCCAGCGACAAGGCAGCAGCAACAACAGCTGCTGTTGCTGCTGGCGTTGTTGTTGCTGCTGCTGGGGCTGCTGCTGCTGCTGCTACTGCTGGAGACACGTTGCCGCCAATCGCTGATAATGAGCAGCCGCCGCCGCGAGATTTGCTGTTGTATCTTGTGAGGTGAGAGATAAATGCGAGCAGGCGTGCTCCACTCAAAACTTGTTGCTGCTGCTGYTGCTGCTGCTGCTAGCCAGCGGCTATTGCGTTTATATATCAAGTTCATGGCCAATGCTGACAGAGTGTCAAGTGTTCTTAGCCACTGTGAGGCCCCAATCCACTTGGCTTCAATCAACAATAACATAACTAACCTTGCACAATTCGTGCGAAATGCGAAAATGTATCTATCTGTATAGGCCACACTTACAAGAGCTCTGGCAGCTCTAATCGATAAGTGAGCGAACAGAAGCGGACAGCGCTTGATAATGAGCTATTGTGTCTCTTACAGCTATGCACAATTGTATCAATAGATAGCTGTAAACGAAGCATTTGTCGGTTTATAAATACCTTTAGATATTTTGAATGATAATTGCTGACTTGAGGCGAATCTCTTCTTGAGCTTGAAGTTTCATATTTTCTTCATAAACAATTTAAATTGTTGTTGTTTTAAATGCAGAATAACTTCGTTGACTTTGCAGCTATCTAGCTGCTCAGAATCTAATTTTAACCAGCGATTAGATAGTGCCAAATACTTACGGCACTTATATATAAATTTATATAGTCCAAGCGCACTTAAATGGGTTTGTTAAAATGTATGCAACAGGCTGAAGCAGGCGTGGCTGATCCCATAAAATATATTTGTATAGCACAGCTCGACGTCTGGTTTTACTTATGATGTTTATAAATTGTAAAGCTATATTCTAGTAGATTTACATAGTTTTACATAGTACGACTACAAGTTTAGTTAGGATTTTGGATGACTGAAATAGTAATTATAGCAACATTACTTGGAATTAAATGATCTGTCTGTATACAATAAATTTTAAAAACTTGTGTATTTTTTTTATTTTTTTATTTATTTGATTTTTTTTTTTTTTTTTTTTATTCCTTAATTTGCTATAGAAGTTCTATTATTAATATTTTCATAATAAATGAGGACAGGTAGAATTTTTAATCGAACTGGTTTAAGTTAATTCAGTGTTTGATTTCGACAATCTATATATGATAATATACTATCTGAACTTAATATGCAGCCGCAGCTGCGTGCCAACATACAAATTGGCGATTTTGAGAGCTGGTCACGTGGCTAACGATAGCAATGGGTGTCTGCTATTCGGTATCTATTATGCATTGCAAGTGGTTCGACATGTACAAGTCCCTCCGCCCCACTGTCGCGCAGCTAATCGACTAATCAACTAATGCTTATCCCATCATTCTACTCTATTCTTTTTAGGAAATGCAGCTTGAACCGCGTCTCTTTGACATTGCCATATTGACACTAAATATAAAACATTTCAAGTTAACCTAGTGCTGAGCAAGCTGAAGCAGCTAAAGCCCAAATTGAAATTCAATTTAAATCTTAATTCAATCAAACTGATTTACAGTTAAGAGACGTTTACTTAATTAACTCTACCAAGAATAAGGCGTACAAACCCCAAGCAAAATGGAGTTCTTAATGAAAACATCGCGTTTGATTGTCACTGCGAAGACTTTTGCGCGTCGTGTGGCGGTGCCCATACCCAGGTAACATAGCAAAGAAACGATACAGTATCTTTAAGTGGCAGATACTTGGGGCGGATTCATTACGCATGTAACTGCGTTGTTGTATAAATTGCGCTCGTCTATCCCACATTCAAATATCTGTATCTGTGTATCTTTCGCCTGCAATATATGTTCTCAGATATTCTGAAAATGCGCATTTCTGTCTGGCTGCTTGCCTGTCCATCTGTCCGGGTGCCCGTCTGTCTGTCTGCGATTTGCATGCGCGCACAAATTTGTTTAGGCATAAATCAGTTTGGCCATTAGAGTCATGCCCAGCGTCCGTCCAGGCGTATTGGAAAAAGATACTTTTGTTTTCATTACAATACGAAACGAAAGTGAGACAATGGCGTGCAGCTCCATGTGAATGTATCTACATAAAGAATGCTACGCATAAATATTTACCAAGCTGCCAGCTAGCGATGTGGCTCAGGCGATTCTTGCTGTTCTTGTTCTTGTTCGTATTCATATTGTTGTTGTMATCGYTGTTGTTGTTGCTGTTGTTGTTGTTGCCTTTATTGTTACGCTGCTCATTTTTCGCGCAACTGAGCAACGCACGTGAGTAGAACGTATTGATCTTGTTCTGTATCTTGCAGATACATCTCACTTTATGTGCGCTCGACGCGATCTCTGTGTATGTGTGTGTGCATTAGTGTGCGTGCGTGTGTGTACGTTGAAATACTCGTTTATGCGTGCTTGCTCTCTTTCTCTATCTCTCGATCCCTCGCCATCTCCCTCACACACACACTGTCTCTGTCGCCCTGCCTCGCTCGCGCTCTTCTGCTGCTCTGCCTGGCTGATCTCTAATAAAACGCCGCACTTCAGTTGCCATTCAGTTTCGCAAATGTCGCTTACAAGCGCACTTCGCACAATTTTCGGCATAACCCACAATCCAAACCAAATTCACCCAATTCCCAGCCGCCGACACCACCAACAGCAGCACCACATCTCGCTACAGCCGCATCTCGCTACCGAATCTGTTAGCCACATGGAGCAAGCGATGCAATTGAAACGCGCCAACAAGGCGCCCTGCAAGAACGACCGCAAGGCCTTCCTGCAGAGGGTGATGCTGACCAGGTGAGACTGAGAGTCACCAATCTATTGATTGATTGCGTTGCCAAAACGATCCCAACTGGTTTCTAACCGCTGGCCCGAAAACCAGCTAAACAGCTGTAAAGCTATTGACCGAGCGACATTTTTTCTTGATTTTTTTATTTTTTTTATTTAGTCTTTTTTTATTCGTTTTACTCTTGCTGTTGTATTTATTTATTTTTTAAGCCGCATGCGTCTTTTTGACTTGTCCGAATCGGTTCGTGTGGGTGGGCATGAATCGAGTTCTCTAGCTTGTGAAAGCTGCGCGCGCGTTCGTTTAGTCCGAGCTAAATACTTAGTCAGATTTTTCTCAGCTGAGACCGCAAATTATGATGCTCATAAAGTTAACGATCCTCGTAACAGCAACAGAGTGAAGAATCACAACTTTCTGGATAAGAGAAACACAAATATCATGTTCGATACGAAACCTCAGTAACAAATCATTTAGACTGCAACTAATATCTAAATTTCATTATATTCCAAAAATTTCAATTCAATTTGCCCATTCCAATGCAAAGACAGAAGTAAATATTACTAAATTGTAAATGGAACAAATGTTCTATTATTGTAAATTACAGAATGAGCTCTAAAATTTGGTAAAGAACTTAAAAATATATATATAGATTTGTTTATAGAGTTTGTTGCTAAATTCCTTAAATCGAAATTCATTCATGATCCCATCAAATTTCAAATTTTCGAAACATTCTTCTTAAGATTAAATTAAATGTTTTCTTTCAGCAGAGTTGAAAGTTCTATGGCAGAGTTCAACGTTAGCAAAAGGCATAGTCACAGCTTATTTATTTTCAGCATAATTCTACGAAAGATTCTGTATAGAAAACCGAAAGAGCTGTGAGTATCGTTGATCAAATTGTTTACGAAAAATGCTGCAATGCTGTAAAGATGCCAATTGTTGCTGTTATTGTTTCTTGTTCTTCTCTCATTTTATTTTCTCTTCATTATTTTTTGCTGTCATGGTTGCTGCTATTATTATTATTGTTATTATTATTATTATTATTGTTGTTGCTGTTGTTATAGGCCTTGATTGTGTCATGCATCACTTTGTGAAGTTCAATATTATGTTTCGAAGTAATTTTGAATATTTAGTCTAAACGTTTCGCATCAGCAATGAATTTCTTAGATATGACGTTGTTTAAATTTTAATTGAAGTAAACAAAAGTGTCTGATTTTGTTTATATTTGCAATGTTTTTCACGTTTCATCCTAGGATGGGCTCGTTCAACTCGGCGCCCAAGATAAACAATGTGGACTCACAAGACGATGGCCTAGAGCTGCCCAAGGGCCTCAGCACTGACGCACTGCTCGACCATGTGCGCCAGCTGCACGGCTCAGGCGTGGTGAAGCCCTCGCTGCTGAGCCGCTGCTTCCTTAAGCCCCCCCTGAACAGCGAAGACGTGACCGACGGCCTGCGTTGCCTCAAGCTGAACTCCGTCTCACGTGGTAAGCTCACACAAAGCAATCGCCCTCCCAGCTGTTACTCACATCTCCTTCCCATCCACACACAGTTTGCAGTGCTCCCAGCGAAGGCGCGCAGCACATTCGGTTGCTGCAGTGGAACATTCTCTCGCAAAGTAAGTGCAGCATGTTCAATCTGTTCAAATATATTTTTGTGTATATGTTTACATATGAAAAAAGGCTTTAAAAAAATTGAATTTATCTAAATGTAATTTAT